ACGCCCTCCACACTAGGCACAGGAATGTGGCCATCTAGGGCAGGGTAGCTGCCAGCCTGGCCACCAAAGGCCACATGCAAACCCAGGGGCAGGTTTGCATGAAAATCAAGGTGGTCCAGTGAGACCCCCAACCCTGAGCCCTGAGCTTAGAACATATGAACATAGGAATGGCCGTACTGGGTCAGACCAAAGGTCCATCTATCCCAGTAGCCTGTCTGCCCACAGCAGCCAACACCAGCTACCCCAGAGGGGATGGACCAAAGACGATGACCAAGCCATTTGTCTAGTGCCATCCATCTCCAGCCTTCCACAAACGGAGGCCAGGGACACCGTTCCTACCCCCTGGCTAATAGCACTCCATGGACCCAACCTCCATGACTTTATCTAACTTCTCTTTAAACTCTGTTATAGTCCTAGCATTCACAGCCTCCTGTGGCAAGGAGTTCCACAGGTTGACTATTTGCTTTGTGAAGAAGAGCTTTCTTTTATTAGTTTGAAGCCTGCTACCCATTCCTTTCATTTGGTGTCCTCTAGTCTTTCTATTATGGGAACTAATGAAGAACTTTTCTTTATGCACCCTCTCCACACCACTCATGATTTTATATACCTCTATCATATCCCCGCTCAATCTCCTCTTTTCTAACATGAAAAGTCCCAGTCTCTTTAGCCTCTCTTCATATGGGACCTGTTCCAAACCCCTAATCATTTTAGTTGCCCTTTTCTGAACCCAAACATCTCTTTTGAGGTGAGGAGACCATATCTGTGCACAGTACTGAAGATATGGCATATCATAGTTTTATACTTCCCCTCCTCCTTCTTCCCCTGGTTTCCTCCTTCCAGCTCCCTTCTCCCAGGTTTCCCCCTCCCCTCTCCCACCCTCTCTCTTCCCCTCTCCCACCTCCTTTTCCCAGTCTCCCCAGAGATTAATCCCCTCCCCCCAGGTTTGTTAAATAAAGAGTTTCTATTTTTGACCACACATGTCCTTTATTTTTTACATCAGGAAGGGTATGTCTACACTACCCTCCTAATTCGAACTAGGAGGGTAATATAGGCATACCGCACTTGCAAATGAAGCCCGGGATTTGAATTTCCTGGGCTTCATTTGCATGAAGCCGGCCAGCGCCATTTTTAAATGCCGGCAGTTCGAACCTCGTGCCGCGCGGCTACATGCGGCACGGAGTAGCTAGTTCGGATTAGGGCAAGAAGGAGCAGGTGCAGTACTCAGAATTACCATGCCTATAAGAAATATTGGGCATGGGAGTGAACTGGACTTTAAAGTCTGGTTCAGCTCAGATCATGAGTACAGGGAAAAGGTGTATTCAATCGTGATCAGGGTATTTTTCTTTGTTTTGGTTGTTTGGTTAAACCTCTCTGTGTAAATCTATGCCTTCCCTCCCCCCACTCACTATCTAAGGGTATGTCTACACTACAGTGTTATTTCGAAATAATGCGTCTACACAAAAAATGCATTTCAAAATAGAATTTTGCTATTTTGAAATAGCGCATCCATACTGAGTGGACTATGAATCACATTTAAGGCTGGCGGGAACCAGTTCCGGCAGGGCACCAGGTCAGAACGTACTGTGTGGGGCTGCTGCCTCAGGCTATCTAAGGTCTGTGCTTAAAGGGAGCCTCCCGGACAGCCAGTTCTCAGGTTTCCCTGCTTGCTTGTCTACCTCGATGAGGGACAGGAAAGCATTTTGTCTCTGTGCTCTGGTTGCCCAGACCAGGGAGACCCGAGCAAAGCCGCACAGGCGGAGGGACCCCGCCGCCCGTGTGGCTCTGCTCCTTTGCCCCCGAGCAAAGCCGCACAGGTGGCGGGACCCTGCCGCCCGTGTGGCTTTGCTTCGGGGCAAAGGAGCAAAGCCGCACGGGCAGTGGGGTCCGCTGTCTGTGCGGCTTTGCTCGGGTCTTCCTGCTGTGCTGGGGGGGACTCCCCCCCCCGCCCAGCAGGGAGAGGGGAGGCAAGCCCCACAG